CAGTTCGTCACTCTCCAACGCCAATTCCGCTATCCTGTCTGACCACAAGAGGAATCTTGAGTAGGCAATCTGTGGGGAGGTAGGAAAAAAGTGGAGTTAACAACAGTGAAGACTTGCATGGATGACTAATCAAGTAAAATTAAGATTAAAAGTCGGAAAAAAAGCGCCCACATTGTATCTCTGATGAAAGGCAACTTATCCGAAGGGAACGAAAATATGTTAAATATGTCCATTATGAGCGTTGATTTACCGATAGCGCTAACATTCAGGGCCTAGGTATTTGAAGGAGGAGCTCTCGTGAAGTTTATTGTGATCATACCACAAATTCCTCCCTAAGTTGGATAAGATAGTAAAATAATTTAGGCATTACATAGAATTTTTAATTGACACGTTACCGTACTTCGACTGATGGGTATTTTGTGAGAGCCAAGATTTTAGTTAATATTTTACGCACTTTGTCGACAGATAGGCAAAACTCTTAGGAGGTTGGGAAATGCTACACTCAGCGGCATTAGCTCAAAACCCGCCCACGCCACTCTCAGTTAGGCCCACGAAATGTGTGCACTAGCTACGATTGGAAAGCTTAACCCACTGTATTCTCTGGTGTGGTATAATTTTCTATTCAGAAGGCTGGCAGTTCATTCGGCAATATTGCAACAATTTGGTCTAGTCACGAATTTCACCGTGAAGACAGGCCTTATGAAATTGGAGGTTGACCCAGAGCCTAGACAGCAGATTTTACTTTCATTAAAAATATGAACTAGATCAACTGTCTGTGGTCCTAACAAAAGTGCTGCGATGACCACCTAAGATTTTTGACTTCATACAAAAAGTATCGAAAGTATCTGCTTTGTCTTCTAATTAGGGAAACCTTCCTATTGTCGATTTAGCTCCTTCGACAGCGATGCATACCGTCGGTATTAGCCAGGAATTTTGCCTTTGTGTGATCTAAATGCTTATTGTGGCACAGTACTTCTTCAGTCAAACAGATACAACTAACGTGACTGTTATAAAGCCACTCTGTCAACCAAGCACACCTCAAAGGTGGTCAACCTCATCTGGGGGCCGTAAAACGTCTTCACGCTTCAGCTATCGCACCTCACAGGCGCGCGCGAAGTCACATGACAAAACTACCATCTCAGGCCATTAATGAATGACTCACTAAGGGTCCCCAGGCAGGTGAAGTGGAGAGGTGTGCAAACACAAGTGGATGCGCACAGCAACGGCCCCCGCCTACAAGCCGGTTTTTTGGCGGCCCTAAAGGTGAATACTAACACGTTCTTAAAGTAGGATAGAACAAACATTCCAACGATCGCCTCGTAGGAATTGGTAGGCCGAAATATCAGTTTTCGAACAAATATTAGGCGCCTAGGGCGGGTAAGTCACGTGGCTCCAAATTGCCAACGGAATTTTGTTCGCTGCCCTACTGTACATTATGAGGAAACAGCGAAATTGGCCTATTGGGAATTTCGGTGTCCTAATTAACACATAGACAGTTCTCGTCCACAACCGCGAGAACATCATGCAATTCAAGTTAACTGAACGAACGTTTTCGATCATTCATAATCAGGCAAGCACAATAATATAAGGGACACATAGAAGGCCTTTGTACAGGCAATAGAGTTCTCGTGGCCCACAGCCACACACTTCCTACCACGGCGCGAGACCGTCACACCTTACCTCCTGACACCTTTCAACGCCATGCGAGACAAGGACGACAGGGAGACATGGGCTAATTGTCGGGCCCCCGTTTTCCCCCTCCCTTTGTGGTCCCTAATTATGACTAGAATCTGATTCCTTACCATCTCTCCCCTTGTTACTACTGATTGGTTGATTACAATTTTTGTTAACTCTACCCTCCCTTATATTATTGTGCTTGCCTGATGATGAACAATCGGAAACGTTTGCTCGCTTAACTTGACGTACTGAATGCTTGTATGGGTATCATCACCGTGAAAGTGGATATTATGGCTCCTCCCAGCGCCCAGCTAATCAAAGCAGTGGGTATAATAACCAAACGCGACAGCCGGTTGATTCAATGAAAATCGAAGTCAACCAGTCATACCAGAGCAAATAATTTATGAGAATGAGCGAACTGTACTGAGATTTAAACATGAATTCACATCTTTAACCGCCTATTCACCACACTTGGTCCAAAGCCAGCTGTTTCCTCTAGATCTTCAAAGGCCTCAGAAATGGCCTTCTTACAATTTGGCATGTGAAATAGTAATCACGCAATATCCATGCATTTTTCGTGTTTCCAGATGCAAAGACGCAGTTCAGCCCAGCAGTTTGCAATACATTCTGTTCTGCTTAGTAGAGTTAAGCGGGAAACGGGCTAGGTTTTGACTTACTGACAGCGCATTATACATCTGCGTAGCCTTGTCAACGCACGCCCATTCGCCGTCAGCAGCCGTGACTGAAACCAGAGTCGGCAGATCGTTGAGCATGGCTTCCTTCAGCGAGCGCAGTTTTTGACGAAACTGAAAAAAAGGCATGTGTGTGTGTGTGAGTGGGACAAGCTTTATTCGGGGGACTTACCTTGACCACAGAGGACGCGGTTTGCAACTTTTGACTCAGACATTCTCCAAAGGTTTCAAACTTCTTCCACTCCATACCGGTGACCTGTAATCAAGTTCCGAGGAGTTTCACATTTAAGCAGGTTCAAGAAACAGTTTTTTCAAAACTATGCTTAGAAATGCCTCCGAAAATATTCACGATTTACTAATAAGATGACAAAGCAAACGAACAATTGGGTGAAAAGGTGATAATTAGAACACTCCTAAAACGGCTTAACTGGAGACAGGCAAGTTTTCACTTTAATGTGGCTGTCAGCAAATGGTCAAAGCTCCGAGCAGGGATATTGGACTGCAGATATTTACGACATTTAAGTTCATTTGTCATGCACTACTATGTTTTGTCAGTAGAAATGTATTTTCACTTAAGTATAATTACTTAAAGGATTAACAAAATATGCACTTGAATGTAGTTTCCGCATTGGGAAAATGAAACTTATGTTACTACTTTAAAACTGGTATGCCCCTAAATATGACTCACCGGCGCTTCGTTGAGATCGGAAAAGCAGCGCGCGAAATAGTAACTAGCAAGGTTGTCGATCCCATCGCTCAGTTTCTGCAAAAGATTCATAAAAATGCGTAATGGTGGGCAAGTCGCACCACTGGCATCCTCTAAAGGGCATGGTCAGAAGGAAAGCATTTGGCCCAGTATTTTTGGATTTCTTATTGAAACTTGTTGATTGAAACGAACTATTGAAACATATCAGGTTTTACATGTTCGAAAGCTTCCTTATCTTATCGAGGGCAATCATGACCCTCCGCTATGCGTGAGCATGCGAAGTGGCCGCTCTCATCCTCTTTACCTCTGTCCTTAATTAATATATTGCTGATCATGCTTGATCAGAGTTCGAGTTACCATTAGAGTCTAACATGCCCCTCGAAGCCCAGACGGTCAGACAAGCCGATAATTTCATCATCATCGAATGTCATACATGTTGTAGC